TGAAAGCTGTAGGATTCAAGCTTGCTATGGGTGGAGGGCTACTAGTATCCCTCTCTGATCACAAAGGAAATCGATAGGGACAGTAAATCATGTGTCCGAGGTTGTCCAGCTGATAGCGAATCTCAGCTTTGAACCTACATCTGGCACATTCCAGAACTATCCCCCCCCTCCAAGGCCTCTTAACCTCTTAGCCTGTTACCACCAATTGGTCAGGTTTCAAAGAAGTGTCTTGCCCAAGAGTCCTTTTGCAATCATGGAAAGTGGAAATCTACCTACCCTGAAGGGGGTGTATTTAGAGAGCTTCCTCCAACTCAGGTCCATGGGACAATGTATTAGGGTTTCCAACCCAGGGCTTGAGCTCAGGGCAGCCCCAGGAGGTCTGGCGCTGTTATCTGGTTTCCTAGTGAGGGGGTGGGCGTTCGCCGGGTGCGTGTTCGTGCCAGGGGTCTCTGGGTGTCTGCACTCTGTACTCTCCCCACTTTACTGATTCTTCTCCCCCCCTTCCTTTTCCTTATCTTGCTCTTATCAGCACGGCAGGCACGAAAGGCATGTGTGGAGAATGAGGAAGGCCACAGCAAAGAAGTCGAGAAGCAAGGGGTCAGGACTCCCCTTGGTTAAGGGGCCCGGTAACCCCCTGGAGGTTTGGGAACTTGTTTTTCCACATAAAATGGAGTAAGGGTGGCCAATAAGAGACCATATACTTCAATGCCAACATTTTCCCTGTCTGGATCCTTTCCCACAATCTAGCTAAGAAAGCAGAGAAGATGTGCATTCCTGATGATTTGCCTGACCCGAATATTTACCCATCCTAGGTACGCTGACACTATTTCTAAAAAGAACACTTTGCCCAACCCAATCATTAATAGAAAAAGGGTTAACAGAGTGAGGTAATGCGAGCGAGTCTTTCAAGAGAATCAGATCCATGATCCACACCTTCATTAATCTTCGAAGATTCCGTAAGTTTCCTGCATAAAAACAGACACACCAGCAACATGGACCAGCAACGGAACCACCAGCCACGCGGATTCAGAGACAATAGTGACCAGGAGCTCCAGTGACCCCATCCCCGAGGAGGCTCAGGACATGAAGCAGAGGAGCTGCCTGGCCGGACTTGGGGCAGAAACCGTCCTCCTTCACACACTGCAGAGAACATGCTGGCCCTGGAACCCTCGGAGGGAGAAACTCAAGAGGGACGGGAGGTTCTGCAAGATGAACAGAATCGTGACTCGTCCCAGGGAGGTGGCCACAGGGATGGATCTGGAGGAGTTATTGTGCTTTTCATGACATGTTTGGCTAGCGAAGGACATGTGCCAAGATAGAAGGAAGGGCACGGTACCAAGGACAAGTTGAGAGGAGTGACACATTTCTGTGAGAACAGTGCCCGGCTTGAGCGAAGGCTTGCAAAAAAAAAAATAAAATAAATAAATAAATAAATAAATAAATAAATAAATAAAAGCTTAAGTTAGCAAAAAAAAAAAAAAAAAAAAAAGTGGTAGTAGTGGATGATACCTAGTTACAATTTAAAAAGAGAGGAGGCCCCTGACTTAGGGATCATGGTAGCATGTTAACGGAGCACAGAGAAAGTAAGGTGACCCAACTCTTGACTAGGAGAGCAGGGGTCTGAAGCGGGGCGGGGGCAGGGGGCTGTGTCCTCTTAGTAGCTTGAAATCCGCATCTCTGGGCCCTGCAGGCTCCCATACCAGGCCCCTGCACAAACTCACAGAAAGGATCACAGAGCCAATGTATTTAATCCCTGGAAAAACGAATGAAGGCTGGGAGAACTCCAGAAGATTGTTGTCAGCAGATGTCCCAATTTACCCAGGGGGAAAAAGACACTGTTCCCACTATACAGACCGAGAGCCTGGCAAGACTGTAATTAAAATGTAATTTAGAGAACGTTTTTAAGCCCTTCGAAAAGGATGGGTATTGAGAACCAACATGGGTTTGAGAAAAACAGACCAAATCACTTTATTGACTGAATCGCCTCCTCCCGCCCCCCACAGGCTAGCTAACGGCTGAAGCAGTTAATGTGTATCTTGACATCAAAAAAGAAAACAGTATTGGCTCTGGATCTGTTTAGTCCCTGAGAACCCCGGCTGCGGGATGACTGGGCTCATGGATCCCTACGACTGGGCTTTGGCCCTTCTTGAGCCTGGCAATACCGTCTCAAGCTATTTTGTCCTTTAGTGCTCAGCGCAAACGGCCCCTCCTCTGGGAAACTTTCCCCTCCGCCGGGGGTGATTCAGAAGTCCCCACTGTAGTCTGGCTGTGTGCGTTCTCCTGCACTCACAGGTTGGAATCCTAACATCTAATGGGACGGCCCTGGAAGCTAGGGGATTTAGCGGCTGACTGGGTCATGAGGGGGCGGCCTCGTGAATGGGATCAGTGCTATCATGAAAGACACCCCACAGAGCTCCCTCACCCTCTTGCCATGCGAGGATCCCACAGGAAGATACAAGGAGAAATGACCCTCACTTGGCCACACGGCCACCCCGGTCTGACTTCCTACCTCCAGGACTGTGAGCATGACGTTCCGCTCTTTACCAGCCACCTAGCCCGTGGTATTTTGTCACAGCAGTCCACACAGACGGAGACAGTCCCTTATCCGTGCCCGCCAAGCACACTGGGCACTCCGCTATCACAGCACTCAGCCCCCAGGTACAACAAACGGCTTCCTTATCTCCCCCCCACCCCACTCAGTGCCTGCAGCCTCCCGGAGGCGTCTGTGTTCCCAGAGCCCGGCACTGTGCCAGGCCCACAGGGGACCCCCACCACATGGTGACGGTTTGCACCTGTTTTGCTGAGAGGCTCAAGGTCAATCTGAAGGGAGTTTTCTCTAACTGTGTTCCATGGGCTTCGCCATGTCTACACTTTTATCAGTGACTTGGAGGAATAGCATGTTTTCAGAGACCGTAAAGCTGGCCAGGAAAGAGGATTAGATAAAAGGCTCAAGGTTCAAGATTGAGCAACGTACAGGCTGGCCATAAAACCTGAAAATGAAGATTGCCTTTTTATATAGATTTGCTTCTCTTGATATTTGTGCGGCACATTTTGTTTGTTCCGTTTTGGGGTGAAAATCAGAGACGGATCATCGGAGGTGATGCGTAACAGAGGAATAGGCAGGCAGCTGACGGAAACGTGGCATCAATGCACCGAATTCCTTGCAGTTTTCTACGCTGCTCTGAACTACACGTTGCTGATGAAGGTGATACACTGACCATATCGTGTAATGTCACTGACCAAATCATACATCGTAAGATCAGCAAGCCGTTTATGATGTCTGTTCTTCTATATTTCTAGACTTGGCGGCTACTCTGTAGAAAGACAACTGACAACTGACAATAAAATTTTAATAGAAATACTCATGAAGCTTTGTATGAGGTCTCAGAGAAGTCAGCTGGGTATCTACAGTACGGGGTGTATCTGGCTTTATTCACCATCCACATGTCCACGAGTCCATCCAACCACACTGAGCACGCACTGTGTGCTAGATTCTTACAAGAACGTACAGATTTCCTGGACAAAAAAACACTGCCTTCCCTGAGCTTATGTCCCAGTAGCAGAAAATGGATAATAAGTGAGTAAATGAAATAATTTCATATGTTGATAAGGGCCACGAGTGCAATAAAGCAATGTGTGATGGGGATAAGGGACAACTTGGATTGGGGGTGGTGTGTAGAGATGCGTTTCTGAGCTTGCAGGACGTTTATGTAAAGAAGAGCCTGATGGGGCTGGGTGGGTCATTAGGTCGATGTGAGTCTAGGATGTGCTGTGACCGTTGAAAATGAACCAAAGCCCGGGTCATATTGAGAGAAGCAGAGTGATGGGATCAAGGGCAGTAACAGCCCTCCTTCCTCTGTAGCAGTCACACCATTTCTAGGCCCACTTCCACAGCTGCAAATGCTCTGTATGAGCTCTGTAAGAGAGTCATGGAGTGTATCCAGAGGAAGGGTCCAGAAACCGCATCTTATGAGGCGAGGCTGGGAGAAGTAAGGGAGTTCAGTTTGCAGACTTTAAACTCATCTTTAAAATATCTGAAGATTCAAGATGTTCGGAAGACAATGAGGCCATGCCTTGTGGTTTTAGGAGTTCACACCTGAACTATTGAGAAGACAGCACAGTGTAGCTCAAAAGAGGGGAGATACCTCTAACAGAATGAGAGCTATGGAGAAATGGGATAGGCTTTTTGAAGAGGTGATCCCTCTACCCTCAGAAGTATTCTAGCAGAGGTTGGGTAACCTCTTTTAAAGATGAGGGATCCCCATGTTGGGTAAAGGATTCCCTTCGAGTCACATCACTGGGAATGGGGTACAGTTTTGTTTCTTTAAGATCTTGGGAACCTCCGAAGGCCTGCCTTGTTAGAAGTGACCTCACGTCTCCTCACTTAGCACTATTTTCAAGACCCAACCCATGAAGACCAGGAATTACAAGACTCCCAATAACAGAATTCAGCTAGAAACAAATGCATGATCCTTTGTTCAAACCTCTCCTGTGTGTGTGTGCGTGTGTGTGTTTGCACATGAGTGTAAGCAAAGTTCTCTGAACTTACCACCTTCCAGTACGAGGGGACTGTACGTTGAGGAGCAGGTCAAAGGCTCAGTTCTATTTAGCAGCTCTGTGGCATTTCCTCTTAAGTAGAAAGCCTCTCCCTTTCTCCGGAATCTGGATCTATCTCGGGCAGACAGGTGTTCCTGTTCTAACTGCCCTTTTTAGGCTATGCTTCCACACAAAGGTTTAACTGAACTCTACAGTGTTTATAGCCAACTTAATGGCTCAGTGTAATCATTTTATGATTATGATTTGATAGTATATCAATTCTGTCTCTACTCGTATTTGCTCTGCTGGACTAGAGACCAAATCAAACCCTGCTGAGAGGAAGGCTTCAGTCAGTGATTAACTTGAATCCCAGGCCAATATACTTCTTTGTCTATTTACTTGTGAAGTGTGTTTCTGAAGGACAGAGCAGAACATGGGCTGTGAGGTCAGTGAAAAACCCATACCTGAGCCACAGACAACAAAAACAAACAGTGCCAACAGCCATGGTCCCACGGGGTATTTCTCTTCTTGCGGCCTCTGAAAAGGAATGGAAAGGAAGGTTAGGTTCGTTGATTCGGGAAACATTTGTGGGGGATTACCAGACACCACTAAAGGCTGAGACGACTCACATTGAGTGAGACAGATCCAATCTCAATGCCCAGTGGGCAGACACAGATGAAGAAATTCAACTGTAAAGGGTCCAGATAGGTATGAAAAGATTCATCATGACCTTACTTATGCTCCTGTAACTCAGTGAACGTGGTGGGCTTAGCTATTCTGGGGACAGATGGGGTAAAAATACACAAAACAGTTGAGTGATTCAGGAGCCCCAAATGATGCTACGACAAATCGTCTCCATGTGTGGAAGGCACACTCTACGCCAGGCTCTCTCCCAGGCGATCTACAACCCGTTTCCACCACCCACAACACGGTACAAGACAAATTATCATCTCCAATTTGTAGCTGGGAAATGGACCCCCAAAGTTTGGGAACTTGAGCAAGGGTTGGGATTTAGGTCTGCCCCATTAGAGAACCTGGGTGTTTTCCATTAATGGAGTCATCTTTAATTCCCCGCAACTGTGGATTCCAAGTAAGGTCACAGAACAGTCATTTTCTCAGAACCTTCTACGTGCCAAAAAAAAGCTGGCAAGTTGGTGCCGTGGAAATCCTTGGAAAGGCAGAAGCATCCCAGCAACCACGAGTGGATAGTGGATAGCGAAGGAAGCAGCATTTTGTAATAAAGCTCCCGAACCTCAGCGAAGCTTTCTCTTGGTGAAATCTCCGCATTCCCTGGGGAGCAGAAGGGCACCACGGTGCCCACATGAACCCAGAGCCCTGCATAGCATCTGTTCCCCTCCAACCAACAGCACAGACGTATTAAGAACCACCATCCACAACCCCTCCCAGTCTATTGGCAGGTAGGGCTTGGTCCTTAAAATCAAATCAGTCAATGGAAAAGCTGTTTTTGGGGAGAAGCATCCAAAAAATGTGGTGAATTTCTCAAATAAAAAGGGAGAAGTTGGAGCGAAAAAAATGGAATAATTCACTAATGCTTCCTCACATGGGTGAGCCAGAAATAATCTATCACCAGTAAAAGTTAGAGAACTCATTTTATTATAGATAAGTCCATTGGTTTCCAGCTTACCCGTTCCATTCTGAGAGCCTCCTGTCCTCTACCTCGAGTGGGCTCACTGACCACTTACATATTGCCATGCACTTTTTTTTGTCAGTGTCTAGGGTGTATCCGTTTATTCTCGTGATCATGTGTGTACTACCTGCCTCTCTGCCAGACTGTGGGCTCATAAGGGCAGCCACCGTGTCTCTTCCCTGTTGCAACACACAGCAATGCCTGGCCCAGGACTTAAACATAGTAGGTGCTCAAGGAGTGTTCACTGAAGAATGAATAAGCATATGAACTTCATTAAATATGATTTCATAGGTCAAGTAGAGTAGAGACAGGGTCTCGGAAGGCTATTGTTGTTTTTTATAAATACTTCCTAGCTGGTGATAGGGTTGTCCCTGCAGCTCTTTTACTAGAGAAGTGTAGGTTAAAGTGCTAATGGTCGGTGGGCTCTAAAAGATGAAAACCCCTCAGTTTGTGTCCTTGACAAGCTTGTATCTAGCGCCGCTCTTGCAGGAAAGAAACATGCTGCAAGGGAATGGCAGCTGCTCTTGACCACACGAGGACAAAAATCAGTCTTATCCAGCTGCATAACTTTACCCAGAGCTGTTACTGTATCATTCTTTGGCCCTTAACACCAGATCAAGGGCATATCCAGTAAATAATCAAGATATTTACTGAAGTTACCTGAACGGATTATGGCACTTACCCCTCCCCACCATCTTCACTAACGCCCTAGCCATCTGTCACAGCTGACCAGAAACCACAGCTCTGTTGCTGTCATCCCACTGATGCCATATAAAAAGTTCATTTCGCTCTAACTTCCCCAAAGCCAACAAGTGAATTTGGGAGCCTGTCAATGAATGACTGGTCTAGTGTGGATACCAAATGGAGTCCATTGTTATTCCTTTGCAGAAAAACACAAATTATCAACATGCAGAGCCTGGAATACACAACACAAAAATCTGTTGGATGACATTTTCCAGTGAATCAATATTATTTGGGGGACTTGCAGAGCTCAAGAACGGCAATATATCGTTTTTTTCTGAGAGCTTTAAGTTCCTCTTTTTTGGAAGCAGTACCCAGCACAATCCCATTGGGGCAATGCACCTACGGCTCAATCTGTCACTGGGAAAGGTAAAAAGAGCAGTAGAATCCTGCAAATGACATGGTTCATTTCAAACAGGAGTTTGCAACTTCCTGAGGCTTTGGAACGTCAGAGGCTGGCTTTCCCTGTGCTTATACACCAGCAGGGTAACTCCGAATTCTGAAATTTACATCCCCCTTCGTTCTGAAGAAGTTGCTACCATGTAATCACAAAACGATTATTCTATTTCTTTGTTTCTTGGATTTATCTGCTATCTGGGAGAATAATATTCATGCCATAGCTATTAGCTAAGGAAATACTGAAACATCTGCATACAACTGAAGGGATTTATTTCTGAATGATGATTCTGAATTTTCAGTTAGAATCTGTTCACAAGTTCCCCAATCGCATCCGGAACAGGTTATCCCTTGCAAGTTACTTCTTTCAAAGTATAATTGTGTTTGACCTGCAATTAGGAAAATGAGATTTAGGATTTAGAGTATTTACTTTTGAAAGAAAATTTCAATTTTCATTTTGGATGCTGGTCTGTTTACAATAAAGGCAGCCGGAGGGGCCTTCTAACCACCTGAAGATAAACAGAGATTGTGGCTTGGTTTGGAAAACTTTCATTACTCATGTAATAGGGCCATTTGGACACCTCCACCCCAGATGCCAGGCACTTTTGAAGGGCCCACTCCATGGTCTATCAGAACCTATTAAAATTCATTCACATCATAGATTAAAGAAATCTGAATGTAGCTCTGAAAGTTTACTTCAGTGGAAATGGGGGTAAGTACATTTTCTAGATATTTAAACATTGTCCCCCAATTTTAAATCTTCTTATTTTGAAGACAGTAACTTTCTCTTTCCCCCAGTTCTCAAACACTTTCCAATGGTCTTGAAAAGCTCGAGGTGGCAGTCGTTTTTACCAAGCATAATGGATACATTGGCTTTGCAAACCAGCTCCAGAATTGCTACTTTTGCAGGCCATACTTGTCAACCTTCCGTTAATAACTTTCTTAATTCTTTGTTTCTTAGTTCATTAAAAAGAACCATGGAACCAGAGATTTTTCAGCACATCAGCTAATCTGTATGGTATCTAGGACAAAGTGATCTCCTAGGGATATAAAACCCTAAGTGGTTTAACATCAATTAAAATTTGTTTTTCAAGGTCAATTGGGACAGCAAGGTTTGTTTTTTTGAGTAAAAACAAATAGGAAAAAGAGATCTAGGTGAAAAGTGTTTTTGATTCAATGGTGTAATTGCATTTTACTGCTCAGTCACACCTAAACGTTCTAACACCCAAAGAGAGAATTTCAAGCATAACTTTAAGTCTAGAGCTGTGTATAAAGCTGTAGGCAGAGCTGAGTTTGATTCTAAGGTTTCTCTGCCATGGTACTGCTTGGTTTTGTAGGAATTCTGCTGTGATGACTGCAGCTCCAGCTTTTTGCTCATTTCTTTGGCTAAAAGGAATTGCCTCATCAGGTCTGCAAGCTTTTCCAGCCAAACCCCAAGCTTCAGCTGGACTTTGCTTAAGTGTCTAGTATAATAGATTCCAGGCGCCTTGGCTCATAGACTTGGAGACCAACACTGCCCAACAACTCATCCCAGGCATGCCTCTGAGTATCCAAAATCACGGGCCTGGCATTTTCTCTTGAAGATCTTCTGCTTTGCTAAAAGAAAACCCTGTGTGTAAGGCCCAGATTTTACTTTAGACTCCAGTGATAAAACCTTTAGTCTATTCTCCAGAGTTCTGGATCATACCATCAAGACCCGCCAGAGCTCACCGGATGAGATAGAGTAATGTTGAATTTAAACTTCATTCTGCTGATGGCCTCACTAGGGAAGAGGTGAAGGAGAGAAAGGGGGGTGGAGGGAAACATGGGTCTGAACCTCATTTCCCACTTTGAGCCCTTCCAACTTATACAGCCCCATTACAAAGGGGCTGGAGAGAAAACCTTATCTTGGTGGGTGTCTGTTGAGGGTGGAGGGCAGGGGTCAAAGCCTGGTGGAGGTGATGATCAGTGGCCTCCATTTACTCATTCATTTATTCACCAAACGTTCTAGCACCTACTTCCGGGCCCCGTGTCACGCAGTTGGTTTAACTATTCCTTAAGGATGTGACTTTCCGTTTTTCCCCAGAGACAAAGGCCCCATTCTCTCCTGGGGAGGCTCTTGCGAGCTTCGGTGGTAACCCCAGCAGCCACTCCCCAAGGGGTCCACCACCACCCTGGCCCTCGCCGCCCGCAAGAGCACCGCGAGGTCCTCGCCTCCCAGAGCCCGGCTCTCATCGCCCACGCTGCGGGACCCTGCCGGAGGGGCGGGCCGGGGCCAGGGAGCGAGGAGCAGGGAGGCCGGGCCCGGTGCTCGCCACCCGCCCGGCCGGCCCCGCCCCGCCTCAGCCCGCCCTGCCCCGCTCGGCCCCGCTCTGCCCGGTCGGCGCCGCCCCCGCCTTACCAGGGTTTTGGCTACGTTCCCCCTCTGGGTGATGTTTTTGCTGTGCTTCTCGTTGGCCATCCGGATCCGCTGTTTGGCCACCATGGCTTGGGCGCTAGGAAATTCTCTCGACTCCTACCTGCAAGAATCCCCCCGCGTTAGCCCCCCGACAGGGCCGCGCGCGTCCCGCCCGCTGCGGGCGCTGCAGGTGGCAAGGCGCGGCCCCCGAGCCCCGCGCACCCCGCTCCCCTGCCCCCAACGAGCCGGCTCCAGAGAGAGGCCAGAGCCCAGACGGAAGTAATCTTTCATCTCAGGAAACCCTTTCCTACTTCCTCGCCATCCTTCCGGTCCCCCCTGCTACCTAACCAGCGCGGCCCCGAGGCTGGCGCTGCCGCGCGTCCTCCCCGCACTGGGCGGCCGGAGCGCAGCACGCGGAGCCTCTCGGCCCGGGCCCCTGCCTCCGGGTCGGGAGCCAGCGGCCGAACGCGGCAGGGCCCAGGGTTCCGGCGGTCCCCGGCCTTGTGCGCTCACAGGGGCGGGGGCGCCACTGCTCGGGGGTTCCGGGACCGGGGACCCGCCGAGGCCCGGGGCCCAGACTGGGGTGGCCGCGCTCTAAGCCATGTCTACGGGCTGCCCCGCACCGCTGACCCCTGGCTGAGAGCTGCCCTGGAGGCAGGGCCTGGCGGGCGTGGCGGGGTGTGGGATGGGGGTCCTCAAGAGACAAGCAGAACCAGGGCAAGGCTGGGCCCATGCTCTTGGGGGACGGGCCAAAGAAACTGTCCTTCAGGTGTCTGGGGAAGGGCCCTGCTCCAGGGAAGCCCAGTGCCCGACCTTTTTAAGTATTGCAGAAAGGGCAGGAACTCCCGGAGGATGGGGGAGGAATGCGTGTGAAGCTGGAGTTGGGGTAGGTCATCTTGGCCCTGGTAGCTGAGGGGGTTACGTGCGGGACTGCCAGCCAGACATATGAGTGAACGGGGAGGAAGGTCGCAGCCTGCAGCCCAGCCGGATTTGGCGGTCACTACCTTAAGTTGGGCGGCCTTGACTTGCTTTGGTTCCACACCTGCCTGGGGCAGTTTGAACCTCCTCTAGCCACCCTTGTCTGGAGGGATGGGATGTGAACTGGCCTTTCCTTGCTCTAGAGGGATAAAGACTGGAGTGTATGCATCTCACCGGCTGGTGTCAGGACCCTACAGATCACTTCTTTTAGGGCAGGAGGGAAAGGGGTTCAGTCCCTCACTTTTCCTTGTGCTGCATGGCTTGAAGTGAGTTCTTAGTAACTCAGAAGGGCTGAGAAGACAAAGGGAAACATCAGCCTGGGAGATCTGGGGCAGTGGGAATCAGTGGGGAAGATGGAGGTATTAGACTTCCTCTGGCTCCCACACCCCAGTCCTTCCCTTGCCCACATCTGTAGGGTTCTGTGTGGATAGAATTTCCTGATGTCAGTAGGAATTTAGAGAGGCTCCTTCTTTCTTTTTAAGGATTCTTTATCAAACTGATTCTCACCCTTCTCCGGTATGCTGTAATTCGAGCTCTAATATAGACAGTGTGGGGGCTGCTTTTGGTAACCCAGAAGAAGACAAAACCTACCCAGCATCATCTAGTAAAGTCTGGGTCATTACTTGTTTTACTCTAAAGGTCAGTTAAGTTTCCAAACTAGTTTCCACCAACATCACCACCGTTATTACAGGACAACAAACCAAGCAGGCTCATGATTAAAGAGATTTGTGTTTTTAGTAATGATGGACTCTTTCAGTGGGGAGAAGAGAGAAGGCCACCCCTTCCTTGTGGACATGTACTGAGCCTTGCCTTGGTGTGAGGCCCAGAAAGTGCCTCTCCCTGAGTCACCTGTCTCCAGTCTTGCCCAGACGCCTGGGGAGGAGATAGAAGGTGGGTTCCTGCCCGATTTGAGTAGAGGTCTGGCTCTGAGGAACAGCAAGGAAAAGATCCAGACTTGATTGTCCTTTTGGGCCTGTCAGCAGAAATGTGTTCTTAGCAGAGAGAAACCTGCCTTCCTACAGGCTCAGGCGAGCACCCTGTTTGGGGGGGGCGGGGGAAGGCTTTCTTGACCCCTGATTCCAGCTTGATCGTGACTGATTTTTACTCCTTTGTCTTGTTAAGCTTTGCTTTTACATCATTTTAAATTTGTTCATTTTAATTATACATAGCCTGTGTACTCACAGGTGACGTGCAAACAAAGAGGACATACAGTGAAACCGAAAGGTTTTTCTCTGCTTCTCTCACTGATTCCCATGGGGCCTAGGTTACCCTTCCAGTATTTTTTATTCATACACATACCCACCGGCATTAGTTCCTTTTGAAAAGCAAACAAAATCATACATCACAAACTTTGCTGCGCCTTACTCTGCTCTCTTACTTTATTGACAGTGTCATCACATCTACTTATAATGTATTTCTTCTTTTCCTTACACAGATCTTGGTCCCGTTTATTGTCTTGAGCATCAGCATTATTTGCTAAGAGAGGTTTTCCCTTCCACCTTGGATTCTGTCCCTTTGTCTACTCAGACTTCCGCCTGACATAAGTTAGACGTTGAGCAGACTTATCCCAGAGGCCCTTCTGCAGGGAAGCTGGGGCCAAGGTCAGAAGCCATGTCCCTGGGGAGTTCCAGAGTAACCACAGGGCTAAGAAGGAGTGAGGCCTGGGGCCATCTTGCTTTGTCGAGATGGGAGGACCTAGGGGAGGAATGGAAACTCCATCAAGAGTTGCAAGTTCCCTTGGGTTAGTTTGTGTCCGGAGTAGTTGTTTTGTAACATACTGGTAGCATGCTCAAACACAATCTCTAAAATTGCAGGAAGCTGCTAAACGATTAAAATTTAATCTTGGCTGGTCATTTTTTCAACCTTTAGATCAAGAATCCTAACAAGCCCTACCTCCATTCGTCATGAGTCTGCCCCACTGAGGGTACTGGGTGTGTGACTGTAGATTCTGGGTTTTACTCATCTTTACAAATGACAGATTATCAAAATGTACGGATGCTACACAATTGAGTTGTGGCATACTAGACCCCTCTCAATGTTCTGTGGCTGACCAGCATACAGCATTCATTTTCTATTTGGGAGACTCCCCCAGTGTGTGAGTTAGGACCTTCCTCTCCACGGTGGGAGCCCAGTGGGACAGATACGGCATACCTTGTTTTATTGTGTGTTGCAGATATTATGTTTCTTACAAATTGAAGGTTTGTGGGCACCCTGCATCGAGCTAGCCTGTGGGTGCCTTTTTTCTAACAGCGTTTGCTTATTTCATGTCTCTGGGTTGCAACTTGGCAATTTTTGTAATACTCAGACTTTTCCATTATTTTATCTGTTACCGTTTTCTGTAATCATTGTGTACAGCTCACTGAAAACTCACATGATGGTTAACATTTTTTAGCCATAAAGTATTTTTTTTAATTTTATTTTTTTTTAAACATATATTTTTATCCCCAGGGGGTACAGGTCTGTGAATCGCCAGCTTTACACACTTCACAGCACTGACCATAGCACATACCCTCCCCAATGTCCATAACTCCACCCCCCCAACCCCCCCTCCCCCCATCAACCCTCAGTTTGTTTTGTGAGATTAAGAGCCACTTATGGTTTGTCTCCCTCCCAATCCCATCTTGTTTCATTTACTCTTCTCCTACCCCCTTAACCCCCCATGTTGCATCTCCTCTCCCTCATATCAGGGAGATCATATGATAGTTGTCTTTCTCTGATTGACTTATTTCGCTAAGCATGATACCCTCTAGTTCCATCCACGTCGTCGCAAATGGCAAGATTTCATTTCTTTTGATGGCTGCATAGTATTCCATTGTGTATATATACCACATCTTCTTTATCCATTCGTCTGTTGATGGACATCTAGGTTCTTTCCATAGTTTGGCTATTGTAGACATTGCTGCTATAAACATTCGGGTGCACGTGCCCCTTCGGATCACTACGTTTGTATCTTTAGGGTAAATACCCAGTAGTGCAATTGCTGGGTCATAGGGTAGTTCTATTTTCAACATTTTGAGGAACCTCCATGCTGTTGGTTGCACCAGCTTGCATTCCCACCAACAGTGTAGGAGGGTTCCCCTTTCTCCGCATCCTCGCCAGCATCTGTCATAAAGTATTTTTAAAGTAAGTTCTGTACATTTTTTTTTTTAGATGGAATGTTGTGGCATACTTCATGGACTACAATATCGTGTAAACATAACTTTCATATGCACTGGGGAAAAAAAAAGTTTATTTGACTTGCTTTGTTGTGATATTCTATTGTGAGGTCTGGAACTGAATGTGTGGGATCTCTGAGGTATGCCTGGACTTGGCTTGGGCGTGTGGCCCAGCTTGGTCAATCATCTGCTCCCTTTGGAACTTTGAATTTTGAACAAGTAGTACAAAAACAAAAGGACAAATTGATGTTCCCGCTTGTGCTGGGTTACCCCAGAGGCAAGCAGTATTCAGCGGTGGGTGCAGGGGGGTGGTAGGGATGGTGATGGAGAGGTGGCAGAGCCCACTGAAATTCTTAATCTCTTCTGCTTCCAGTGACCAGAGTTTGTGGTGTTGATGTTCAAGAACCCTGACTCATGTACATGAAAACAGACCAAAAACCAGGTCTTTCTTGGTCATTTCCCCTTCCAAATCTAGACTGAGTGTCATGTCATCTGAAGCCTTCGGACATTGTGGTCTTTTCTCACCAAGGGGGACTGAGTCTAGAGGCCTTGGTGACAAGTGCTGTGGAGTGTCTCAGTTATGGGTGGGGAGCATTGGCAGACACACCTGCTTGAATAAAGCCAGCAGATCACCAACCCTCCAAATCAATACTTCCAGTTTCTTCTTCATCCAAATCATTTCCAGGACTGCCAGAGAAGAGAAAAATTTGGCGGATCTCAACATCATCTCCTTTTATAGGTGTTATATTCTGGTGCAAATGTTCATGAAGGTGTCTCAACAGTAGGCAGAGGAAAAATAAGAAGAGAGCTGACAGCCAACGTTATCTGCTGCACGCGTTGGAATCCGCTCAGTGCACTAGATTATGGTTTCACGGAATCATGCCACATCATCACTGGAAGGAAACCCAGAGAGTCATTTGTTCAGTGTTTATTGAGTGTCTACTGTATGCCAGGCACTATTTTCGACGCTGAGAATTCAGTGATTGGTACAAGAGCTTCTGCCTTCAGGGAGCTCACAGTTGTGTGGAGGAGACCAAGAAGTAAACATTGGGAGACTGCCCTCATTTCACAAATGAGCTAAAGCCTAGGAATCACAAAGTAAATAGTAGCAGAACTGAAGGCAGTATCGAGGCCTCTTGGCTTCCCGTTTTCCCAAGAGAAACATCTACCAGGTAAACTCAAGAGGGAGCTGGGGTGACAGGGCCGAGCTTTGGAGCCGCTTATATGTGCACAAAAAATAAATCACACACAAAGCTACACACACATTCACGCACACACATGCATGATCAACTCCACTTTGGACCTCCAAGGCTTGAACTTTGGTCCCTAAGTGGTGGCACAAACA